CAGGACGTGCAGAGGCTGCGGGGGGACCTCGCCCAGCGCGACCAGGCCTGGGGACAGGAGAAGGTGAGTGAGCTGAGACACCCCCTCCCTTGGGGGCCCCTCCTGGGCCGGCTGCCCGTGGTCCAAAGGAAGCCTGGGGTGGCTGCCGCTGTCAGGCAAAGGGGAGTTGAATGACGCCGCAAGCTCTGCCCGAGCACCTGGGGGGATGGGCATGTCTGCCCCAGGCAAAGGGGGACTGAGCCCCACACTTGGCTCAGAAAGGCATGGCAGCATTCTTCCAGCAGAGCCGCCCCCAATGGATACCCACTAGGGGCGGGTGGTTGGTCCCCAGCTGTGACCATATCTCCCCCAGGCTGGGCTGGGCATGGGTACAGAGGTGGAGGGGGGGTTGGTCCCAGGCTGTGACTGTCTCCTCCAGGCCAGGTCGGTGGTGGATACAGAGTTGTGGGGGGGGAGGGGGGTTGGTCCCAGGCTGTGACTGTCTCTCCCCCAGGTCAGGCTGGGGATGGGTACAGAGGAACGGGGTGGGGGTGTTGGTCCCAGGCTGTGACTGTCTCTCCTCCAGGTCGGGCTGGGGAGGGGGGTGTTGGTCCCAGGCTGTGACTGTCTCTCCCCCAAGCCGGGCTGGGCGGCGTTGGTCCCAGGCTGTGACTGTCTCTCCCCCAGGTCAGGCTGGGGATGGGTACAGAGGAACGGGGTGGGGGTGTTGGTCCCAGGCTGTGACTGTCTCTCCTCCAGGTCGGGCTGGGGAGGGGGGTGTTGGTCCCAGGCTGTGACTGTCTCTCCCCCAAGCCGGGCTGGGCGGCAGGGTGTTGGTCCCAGGCTGTGACTGTCTCTCCCCCAGGTCAGGCTGGGGATGGGTACAGAGGGACGGGGTGGGGGTGTTGGTTCCAGGCTGTGACTGTCTCTCCCCCAGGTCAGGCTGGGGATGGGTACAGAGGGACGGGGTGGGGGTGTTGGTTCCAGGCTGTGACTGTCTCTCCCCCAGGTCAGGCTGGGGATGGGTACAGAGGGACGGGGTGGGG